AATAATATTATTAAATATATTAAATAATAATATATTAAATAAATAATATTATTAAATATATTATATAAATAAAATTATTAAATATATTAAATAATAATATATTAAATAAATATATTAAATAAACATATATAATACAAAAACGGTTTCAGAAAAGAGGGAAGAAAATGAAAAAGAAAAAAAAAAGTGAAATCCGTTTTTCAGAAAACAGAAAACGAAAACGAGAAAATGAAAACACCTTTTTTTTGTTTTCTGATTTCCACAAAAAGACAAAAACGTTTTTTGTTTTGTTTTTTTAAAAAAATTGCACCAAACACGTTTTTAACACCCGTTTTTATTTTTTTGCTTTGAAAACCGTGAAAAACGAAAACGAAAACGCAAACAAACAGGCCCATTGGATTGCACCATCAATCTTTCTATTATAAAATATCATTTTTCTATTTAAAAATTGTATGACGTGGTACACCTATGATCACGCTGTGTTTTGACAATTATATCCTATAATTTATTTAAAGATAAGAACGAAAAATGTGGAATTATAAATTTTAATTATGAGTTAAAGATAAAATTTTATGTAAATTTTTTTATTATAATAAAAAATTAAATGTGATTATTTTTAATTTTTTTTATTATAATTAAACTTAAATTGTTAAAATGAATAAGATTTAAAATAATTTTATTTTTTAGTAAAATAATTTAATAATTATGGGCTCGTGTATTTTGAGTGAAAAACTCAAAAAAAAGTAACTCGAGTTACACCTTTATTTAAATTCATGTTCTTTTAAGTTTGAACTCGAGCTTAAATTCGAGTTTGAACTCGAGTTTGGGACTAAAACTCGAGTTCAAGTTTTCCCTTCAACTCGAGTTCAGAAACTCGAACTCAAGTTAATGAATAGTATTTTTTCTATTCTTAAAAATGCTATAACTTTTTCGTTTTAATTCTGATTGAGATGATTTTTTTTTCTATGCGTTGACAACGAAAAGACGAATAAAACTATACCCATATACCCTATTAAAATTTTTCATCAGCATTGAGTTTTTATTAAAATACTATCTAAATACAAATTTAAGTTTTGACTTACTCAAACATAAATTCAAAAAGATTCTTATCTCAAACTATAACTCAAATATACACAACTAAATACAAACTCAAATTATAACTTCAACTTAAGTTATAACTTAAACTCAACTCAAAAACTTAAGCCAAGAATACTTGTAAAAGAACGAGCCCTATGATTCTCAATTGAAAGTTTGTACCGTAATCATTACGTGGCAAATCTTCTGACCGTAGATTCACATCAATAATTGTATGTTGTCACGTGAACTTGGAACTTTGTACAAGACAAATTTTTTTTTTTTTTTTTTTTTTTTTTTTTTTTTTTAGGGGAAAAAAATTTGGTTTTTTTTTTTGTCAAATTTTTTTTTTTTTTTTTTTTTTTTTTTTTTTATATAGGTGAAGACAATTTGGCTTTTGATTGCGTCAATAATTAAATTATTCAACCTATAGCCGACCCTTTGCCGAACAAAGTTTAAAAAGAAAAACATATCAAAATGTCATAATCTATTAATATGTTTGCCCTTAGGTGACAATGACATTATAATATCATTTCCCGTGTTTGTTTAACTTGATCATGTCTAAATGTGATAGTGAAGTTACATTAATAAATGACCTATATAGAGTTGGGATGGTTTTTTTTTTTTTTTTTTTTTTTTTTTTTTTTTTGTGTTTTTTTTTTTTTTTTTTTTTTTTTTTTTCTATAGTGTGTTCTTATTAAAAGTTGGTATCATTTTTCTCCTCTTATTAGACCGGTCCAACAGTTTAATAATCTGCATTGTTAGCTTATACTCTAAAAGAGATCCAATGGCTGTGGAGATATGAAGGGCAAAAGTAAATTCATAATTTGGTCTAAGAGTATACTATACATATTATTAAAAAAAAACAAATATACTAGAAAAATACTAAAAAAGTCGACAAATGGTTACAAGTATAAACTTGCGTTAATTGTAAACCTAACTACATCATAAAATGTAGAGTTTAGAAAAGGAGACAAAACTAGCGGTACTTGTAAACCTAACTACACCATAAAGTGTAGAGTTTAGAAAAGGAGACAAAACTAGCGGTAATTGTAAATCTGACTGCACCATAATAAAGTGTAGAGTTTAGAAAAAGAGATAAATAACTATATTAATCAAAAGAGTTAAGGGGTAAAATTTATATTCATGCACTTTAAAGATAAGTATAACAATTTTCTCTGTAGGAGTTTAAATTCCCTGCCAAATTCTTAAGGAAAAAAAAAAGCCGCAAACAGCAGTTTGGTATTGTCTTTCGAAGCCCTAGAACAAATATCAACTTACTAGATTTTTAGCTTCTGATTTTGCAATAAATGAATGAGAATAGTATAATAAACCGTCCTACTGGTAGGATCAATTTTCTAACCTTCAGATATGGTCAAAATCAAATGAGATTGAAAATATATGTAAATTAAACAGTAGACAATTTTTTATACACATTTGACGATTGAAAATGGCTGGAAAAATATGAAACTACTAGTAATTCTATTTTTCGATCCTACGGAAGAAACTCCCTCAAGTTATATCCTTTTTTTTTTTTTTCCTACTTTTCCTGTTTTCCATTTGCACTATCCGACTCTACCATAAAAAGCTACATAAATAAAAGTAGAACATCTTTTACAAACACAATCATCCCAAACTAAGCCAAAATGATCAGAAATGCCCTAGAAAATTTAAAAACTAAGAGGATGGAACAAATCAAAGGATCTTGTTTATAGGAGCAGGAAGACTTTGAACTTGAGCTTAGAATGAAGGTTATCAAGTGGTTGCTTCTTTGATGTACAAAGGCTTCAAAGACTCCGATTCACTGTGCCTAATTTTCCGTGACCCTTCTGTGTACCATATTACACCTCGCCATTAAGGCTTTCGATACGATGAAGGGAAGCCTGATGCGCCATATTCTAAGAGTTCAAACCATGTGATTGAATAAATCCTCCCCTATCGGTTGCGGGTAGAAGGACTCTCCCTCCCCCTTCTTTGACTCCAATTTGTATTGTTTGCAGAGGAATCTGCAGCTGATCCATGTACTACCACCGCGGGGGCTTTCATTTACGGATTAGTGCATTTAGCTAGCCAAGCCTCGCTTTTGTACTTCTCTCTCTCTCTCTATCTTGACCTAAAGCAAGTCACTTGGCGGGTTGGCGCTCTTTTCTATTTAATTTTTTGATTCACACAAGCAATTAGATATGAGTGTCAAAGATGAAACAACTTTCCTTTCCTAATAAGGTTCTCAAATATGCCAAAATCCACCCTTTCAACTTACTTAAATTTCAAATCAGTCCCAATTTCTTGTGTACCAAAGCATGTAAAAGAAGAGCAACAAATCATAGGGTGATAATCATGGACCAACCAGTTATAATAGAGTCTTCTGGAACAAACTGTAGTCAGAGACTTGTTAAATAGGGAAATCACGCCTTAACATCTCAATAGCATTGCCATCAACCTGCACAGGATTGATATGTATGGTTAACAAACGTCCAAAATTCAAGTATTTTTGTTCGTTCAAGAAATCAATCCTTGTCAAGGAAATCTGGAAAATGTTGGCTTAATTACCTTCTCAGTTCTAATTTTGGAGCGGTCATTTTGATCAGAATGAGCAACCGCTACATCTGGCATTCCCTGTTTACTTCATGAGAAAAGCAGAAAAGTTTATTAAGATATAATTCAAGAAGGGTTACGATCTTTTTGCAAAATCTTTAAGCCTTGATAATTCAATCCCTCTGAAGGTAACAAATTAATTTACTTTTTTTTTATTTATATATAAGAAACAGAACTTTAGCAACAATACTTGTTAAAAAAGTGTATAACAGAGGACAAGGAGTCAAAAAAATAAAAATAAAAATAATCCAACAAACGAGGACCACAACAAAATAGAGTCCTAACTATTGAAACATCAAATCCGGTACCCTTATCGAATCAGAAAAATGAAAAGAAGCAGAATTTACAAGTAGTAAATAAATACATACCTCCATGTTCCAAATTAATAAATGAAAGAAAACCATCCCAAAGCTTGCTGGTTCAAAAACCAAACGTTCTGATTCCCCATGATGTGTTGCAGAGAAAAGACCACTTCGCAGACTCATGGAAAACCATAGACATGAGCATCTCCTTTTCAGTGGTCCAGTTGAAAAAGGCAAGGAGAAAGTATGTTTTCTGATGCATGAGAGCTGATCTCGGGAGGTAAAGGTTGGAGCAAACCGTTATTAGACAATTCTTCTAAGCCTTTGATTTCCTGCTGCAAGCGGGTTGCATGTAAAATGGCATGATCAAGAACTAGAGGATCATCCGGGGGGTTCTGCATGAGGGCAAGCAACGTCTGTCGATAAACTTGAGCAGCTAGTAATGGCCTTGCAACCTGCCGACTCTTGCACAACATTGCCACTTTGATGACATGCTTACAGAGATTTCCCACCCCAGACCAAGGGCAATCACAAAGTGAGAATTCTGAACCGGGATTCAAAATAGTGTATGCAAGGCTTCTATCTGTTTGGGAGATGACTTTTGCAAGCTGGAGATTGTGCTCATCCAGTATGACATCGACATCTGGGATTTGCAGAGCCTGGCACCAAGCATTGGTTGAGAAAGCTTTGTCCCTAAGGTTGTCAAAATACCCAGTCTCTGAACTATATTGATCCAACCAATATAAGGAGTGAAATTCAGTTGTAAGTGTGTGGATTAACCAATCGACTCTAGACCAAGAATTAGCATTTTGCTCATTGAAAAGCTTCAATTTCAACCTCAAGTGATAGGACTCAATTGCGGCATTGGGTTCGGGACTCGACACAGGGAGAGACTTGATGCCACTAATCCACAACTCTGCAGGACAGATAACACATGAGCTATACGCGAAAGGACAATCTAACAGCTCAGTGGCCATCATAATGGTCATACGAAACAAGTCAAGAAATTAGTATATTAATTAATCTTAAATTGTTAATAACTAAGAACATCAAATATCAGCCTCATGAGGAAACAAGAGGGGAAAGAACCACCACAATGAAAACACAGATGCTGGGATTTTTATTTATTTATTGGCTTGAATACAGATGCTGGATTTATATGGAAATTAAGTTTTCTATCCTTGGTAGAAGCACCTATACGTCCCTTGATAAATAAATGGTTATTTATAAAAACGCACCTATACTTGGTAACCATCGTCTCTTAAAGTAATCCATAAAGGCACATTGATCAACAAATACTTGCATAAATTCCTCAAGTGCATCCATAGCATGTTGCTCACTTCTTGTGCAGTACAATATCCATCCTAAGTGCTTAAAGATCTCCCGCTGCACATCAATGTTGCAACACTTTTTCAAAAGGCTTCTTATGCAAGCACGACGAACCTGCCATACGCATAATAGGACCCGGCACTGGAAGGCCTCTCTGCAAGCATGATTTGGTTGTCATTTCATTCCATATCCAGACAAAGAAAAAAAAAAAATGCACAGGCAACTTCAAGAACATACTGATAACAAACCTAATTATAGAGACGTTAAAGGAAGGATCATCCACCAGAAAGGAATTGAGTCTCCATCTAGGATCCTTAGTTCGCACTCTCTCAGCAAGTATCCCCATCCATTTTTGGACATCTTGATTTACAAAAGAAGAGGAAATCACCCAAGCAACTGGAATAGCATTCCGTGATAGGTCAAAGACAAGTAATGTGCATAAGGGATACTGTCAAAAGAAACCAAAACATACAATGTGAATAAGTAAAAATAAAAATTAAAACCAAAAATAACAAACATGGGAATCTTATTACTATCTATAACGATAAAGGGCAAAATCTTAAACATCAAAAATGTTGTTTTTCCAAGTTACAATTATTCAAAGTACATAATGTTGTAGGAGGGAGCGGGAAGCATCACAAACAATGCAATTAACAGAAAAGGAAGACGGAACCTTAAGTTTCTTCAAACTGAACATTGAATGGAAAGCCATGGAACCATTGTTTCCATAGCGTAGCATCTGTTGCAGCTGCCAATCTGTCTGTATGCCCAAAACAAATGGTTCCACCCCAGAGTAACTTTGAAGGTAGAAAACATGCTTGTGATGGCGCTGCACCCACATCTGTACACTGCATTCATCGCTTGCATGAAACTCATGTGAATAGTTACGAATGAGCCTTTCCATGTTACGAACGTCATTGCGTGTTAGGAAATCGTCACGGTTATGTGGTCCACCATGCCCTTGGACCACCTCAGCGTGATGCTGAATTATACTGTCCAAAGGTACTCCAATGTAAAGCATAGACATCACTTTTTGTCGCAAATCCTCTGAAATTCGTGGGGCATACATAGCTCTTGTCCCCAGGGAATCCCGATCGAGTATACCGTGACAGGGGGCCCCAGATTTATCTACATGTTTTCTTTGATTGTAGATGATGAGAGCAAGTAGGGGACGGGTGTATAACCGTTTTACCGTAAAATGGCAAAGGCAACCTCTCATCATATGACGCCTCCCAGGCCTGCTTCCCTTCCCCGATGCAGGCTTTATGTTTGAACCATCCTCCAAACCAGAATGGCTTTCTCGGTAATCTTCCGGACCATATGAACACCAGTATCTGTTAAATCATCACACCCATTTACAATACATTTGACTAAATTTCAAGATAACACATGCATTTAAAATATTCAAGCAAGTAAAGCAGTAAGCAGAAATTACGTCTGATGCTTTTCAAGTGTTAATCCCTAACCCTAAATGGCCAACTTATTAATGACCTGTTACAAAAAAGTTTGACCAGGAATGTATATGGGGTTCTACGCATATTAACTAATATTGCTTCAAAAAGTGGTAAATATATATATATATATATATATATATCTGCTTTCTAAAAACACAAAACTGAGAAGCTGAAATTCGAAGTCAAAAGGCACAAATTAAGCACTTAAACAACAAAAGCACAGCCCTCAATTAAAACACCCTGATAACAAAAGAAAACTACACATTCCAAGTTACAAACCAACATACAGCGTGTATTCTAGGTATCCATCAACTCTTGGTTTGCTGATGCTCCCCTCAGGTCTCTTCCTTCTTGATTCAATGCGGAAGCTAGCGGGGCATTCTGCATTCGAGGATTCCCCTTTCACGAAATCGTCCACTCTAGCAAACGGAATAAGAGCAACGTCATCGCCGCCTTGCCGACCACCCTCTACTTTTACCCACTTGAGATGATCAGCAGAAAACTCTGCACATGGAGGATCTTGGACCGGAAGGTTAAGAATGTCCTCCATTCTTGGCATCTATAATTTCAAAAATAAACTACAACATGTCACAGGGAAGCAAATATAACACCAATTATAGCTGGAAAAAAGGACCAAAAAAGCAAACAAAACAAAACCCAAACAGGAAAAAAAAATTTGAAATAAAAGATTCCAACTGTAGATTATAAAAAGTTTCTTATCCATGGTAGATTTAAAAAGTCACACGACAAAGACATTTTGAAGAACAAAGAAAGGAAAAAAAGAGTCGACAACAAAAGAAAAACAACTCCTTCTCTATCAAATCATGCCAGTTACCACTAACACCAAAAAAAAAAATACCAGTTTCCACTAACACAAGAAAATGTACTCTGGTTAACTAAGAATAACCAAACAAAAATCAAATGATCATGACATTAGAATCTTAATAATTGCAGAAAAGTATTAAGCAAATTTAATGAAGAAATTACCTTGTGCTCGTGCCCTTTCATCTTGCTTCCAAGTTGTTAAAGACTCAGTTGTAAATCTTCAGCCCTTCTTTGCTGCACTTATAATCATCACATGCAAAATACTATGCGATTGCAACAACAAAAAATAGCTACAGAAAAGGGGGAAAAAATAACATAGTTCTTGTTTGGCTTCCGAGAAAATAAAAAACACTTACCGGTTCAGCTGTTTTGGTAGCCCAAAAAAAAATTTAAAAAAAAAAACCGCCTTTTTTTTCTCAAAACTAATGAAGCTAAATTGTGGAATTGGAATTAGAGATCGAAGAAGTTCAAGTATTTTCTGGGATCCCAAACATGATGACAAAAATCAGAGATCGGCGAGGACTACCCCGGAGTGGAGGATTGGCTTTGAATTTGGGTCCGTCGAGACCACGCGCGAGAGTTTGTGGGGGACAGGTTTGAGGCTTTTTCTTTCGAGAACTGATTCAATGTCAACGACGCGCCGTTTTTACAAACGACAATCGATTGCCACTCGATCGAATAAAAGGCATGTGCATGCGGGGTAAACACTAAACTGCAATGGGAGAAGCTACACGCCGTTTTTTGAAGCGTTTTTTTTAAATTATTTGTTTTTGAGGAAAAGAAAATGTTGGCAGTGTTCGTAATTGCTTCTGTTTTTATTTTTTATATTTTTTGAGAAAGAAAAAATAAAAATATTTTTAAAACGACGTTTAACGTAATAAATATACAAAATAGAAATGAAAATAATTTTTTAATTTAGTGTAAAATGAGAGATCGTTTTTCATTTTTATTTTCGTTTTCTTCTCTCTCGAGCAGAGATAGAGAGAAACATTAATGAGTTTTTTATACTAAAAATAACATTTTGATAAAATTACTAAACGCATTTTCAAAAATGATTTCTATCTGAGATTGAAAACGTTTTCATTTTCATTTTCATACAAAAAATAAAATCATTTTGAAACGAGTTCTAAACGTGCCCGTTGTATTCAGGGAGTTGGGACCATTTATATCTTGTGTAATTTATAATATGTTTTTCCATTTCAAAAAAATTTATAAGTTTTGAGAAAAGAAATTGGAAGAAGAAAACGACTCTAAAGTGTTCTCCAATGAATTATAAAAATAAATTTTTTTCATTAATAATTTTAGTTAAAAAAAAAAAAAAACAAAAGCGTGATTCTAAAACAAATTTTTTTTTTATTTGGAGGTGTAAAAATTCGACCTTGTCATTTTATGATGGAGTCGGGTGTGTAAATACCCTTATACTATGTTTGTAACGACTTTTCAAGTGACATACTTCCAAAAATGTGAAAAATACTTCTAAAATGCTTAATTAAGGTGTACAATATTCTTAGTTTTATTTATTTAATTAATTATCATATTATTTTAATAAAAAAGTAGACAAATACTTTTTAAAGTTTATAAAACTCAATTTTTACCCTTACTTTTAATTAATACTTTTTTAATTAAATAACTATATTAATAAAAAAAAGTATTAATAGAAAATAATAAATAAATATTTAGATCCTTACCCTCTAAGAGTAAATTTATCAATTTTCTCTTTTAAATATTTGTCGAGTATCAAGTACTAATACCAATTTTTGTCATCATTGATTTTGTTAAAAAATTAGAAAAAGGGGAAATGGTGATGAGTTAGGAACTATTGGCAATAGGATTCTTTTCCTTTTATCTGTGAAATGATTATGAGTTAGGAACTATTAACAGGATCTTTTCCTTTGTTTATTTGCTCGATGAAAATTGTGAGTGTATTTTGTCCACTTTTTCCATTCCTCGCTATCAAAATGATAAAAAAGAAATGCGACTGGGCGAGTTTATTTATTCTTTCTGTGTTCGCTCTCTTCTACTTACACATTACGCCGTGTCGCATTTAATTTTTAAAATTCAAAGAATTGATTTCACATAAAAATTTTTAATATATGTTGACGGTCAAATTTCGTCAACAAAAATCGACTGGGTTAACTCTTAATTTTTTTTTGGATTACCGGCCTGTGTGTATAGTGAACGTATGAGGAGTTGTTGAATATGTGTGTTGTGTGTGTTAACTAAGTAATGCATAGACAAACAACACAAGAAATTTTCATAGTGGTTCCTATGCATTACTTAATTAACACACATAACACACATATTCAACAACTCTTCATACGTTCACTACACACACAGGCCAGTAATCTAAAGAAAAATCAAGAGGTAACCCGGCCAGTTTTTATTAGTGAAATTTGACCGTCAACAATATATTATGCTCGGTGCCACAGGATACTATAAGAAAATTGAGTATATGTCATACTTAATGACAAATTTAATAGCTAAATCCAAAAAAAAAAAAAAAAAAAAATAATGAAAAACCCACATTAGTAACCACAACTCTCTTACGTTTTTTCTCCCTCTTTGGCGACAACGACACAAGTGGAGTGGTGTCACTCCTACCAAAGACACTTCGCTACACTCGCCACCACCATAGAAACCGTCGCAATTGCCCGCTAAGAAATAAGTGCGCATGTAGATCCATGCTATGGGTGAATTGTCAAATTTATAAATATTAAACTTCAAAAGTAAGACTTGCTCAAAAAAAAAAGTAAGACCACCCGATTTAATTTACTGATTTGAATTTTTTTATTTGAATTGATATGTGATTTTATATGAATTTTTTACTGTAATAAAAAAGTTAAATATGACTGTTTCTGAGAACTTTTTACTGTAACAAAACTCGAATTCTAAACTCAAATCGGTGAAATGAACGAGATCTTAATTTACACCCATTTACAATCCCTTCTCAACCAGAGGCTATCAACAGGTTACAGGTGTAGAGCATATACGATATAGGGTGGATTGAAAGTGCCCCTCTTTGACATTTAGCTCAAAAATCATTTTGATAGGTACCTTCTAGTGCAATGAAACATCTTGTAAGTATCTAAAATTTAACAATATTAAAATGATACTTCCAAATTCTAAAAATCGATTTTTTAATACTCTATAACTATACCCAATTTTTGATACTTAAAATGGCAATTGTGTCCTTATCACTGTTTTTTTATTAAACCGATCGAATTAACATTATAATTCGAAAAAAAATAATAATAATAAGTTATCCCCATTTTTCATTGGTGTTAGAATATAGGAAGATGTACGTGCCAATTGCGCTAAGCACTTTCTTCGGTTTCTATGGCTCCATGAGTAGCATTCACAACTTTTAAAATTTCTACCTTTGATAATGGTTTTCTTGCCATGACACATTAAACAAGAGACAATTAATTGCGTCGTCTAGTTTTCACAACTCCTTTACGTCCCAGTAATTGCTGTATTATTACCTTTCATTTTCTACTTTCAATTTTTTTTTTTGAAAGACAAATATTATATTTTTTTTATGGTGCCGGCCAGAATGTCAATTCCATTTCCAACAATTATAGCACCAATATTTGGAACTAACTATTCCTTATGGTAATGCTATTTTTAGAACAAATCAAGAGATCATTTAGACACTGAGGTCAACCTAAAAAATCTTCACTTTTGAAGAGTTTGTGTGTCTAACTAGAGGTGTTAAACGTGCTGTGCCGTGCCAGGCCAGCACGGCACGTCCGACCTCAGGCCCGTGCTTAGCACGGCCATGCACAGTGCAGGGCTGTGCCAGGGTAAGGCCTGAGGAGAAACTTTTAGGTCCGAAATTGGCCCACGACACTAGTCTGTAAGGGCCATGGCCGAGCCTGGGCCTATGCCCTTCACGGGCCGGCCCTGGCCCTTGTAATTTTTTTACAATATTTAATAAAAAAAATATCATATGCCCTAAAATATGTGATTTTATTAAATTGAGATAATATGAATAAGTACACATAAATGACTGCTTCGTTAAAAACCTTGTTAAGTAAAACCCGTGGGGAGATCGGGATAAAATCTTAGCAAATAAAAAAAGAGTGCAGTATTCTAGGATAAGTAAATTACAAAACCTAAGTGCTTCCAGAAAATTATGTTATTTCTAAGTTAGAAAAATAATCTTGCATTGAATCATCCGTATATTATTGTTTTCGTCTTCTAACATCTTCTCAGTCTTTAATGCACATTAGCCCCTCTAAGATATTTGGATACATTATGCTTCTCATTTCGTCAAGAATTCGGTTGCTTGCTCCGATGCTACCGTTGACACTGGAGTTGTCAGAATGTCACGAGCCATTACGGACATTGTTGGAAAATAATCGGTCTTGCTCTTCCACCACTGTAAGATATCCAGTTTGTCGTCATCGATTACAAAATTTACTTCAAAATATTTTACCAGTTCGGTACACTTGTGTTGATGACGATCCTGCCGTTTTTCTCTTTCTTCTTCAAGAAACTCCACGACGAGCCTTTAGGTCCCGAACTGCTAGTTGACGTCGAAGTTCCCTGTTCTTTTTGACCTGTACTGTATTTTGCTTCATACAAACCAAATAATTTTTCTAACATTTTCCTAGCATCAGTAATAGTTAGTAGCATATCAATACCTAAATTTTCTGTTGTAGTAGTCATCAAAGATTCAGTCCCATCTACTCCGCATCTAGGATCTAAAATGGTTGCTAATGCATATAACATAGGACAACCTGACCAATAACTTTTAAATGTAGTTTCCATTAGCTTAACTATGTTTCCAAAAAGTTTAGTATCCCTATAATAAGTAAATATTTTTGAAATATTAAATAGTTGATGTAAAGCTAAATGTGCAATAGGATAATAAACTCTGGAAAGTAATTCAGTGGCATTGTAGAAAACTTCTAGAAATTTTAAAAAATACTCACCAATATGTCAATCTATATTGAAAATTAAAAGCTGATCGTTCTCATTGTTTACATACGTTGTAATGAGCTGTTGATACGGGAGTGTAGCATTCAACATTAAATAGGTGGAGTTCTACCTATGTCTCAGGTTAGTTAGGAACCTTCTTGGGCACATCTGACTGTTCATGCAATATTGTTTGAATTCTTAGAGCCAAGCTCCAGAACTAGATTTGAAGGATAAAGATTCTTTAATATTTGTTAGACTAGCTGCAATATGTTCAATTCATACCTGAATTACTAAATTGATTATGTGACATGTGCACCGTTGATGAAAATTTTCCCCCCAAACTCTGGTTTCAAACTACGTTTGAACATGTTAATTGCAGCCGTGTTAGCTGACGCATTATCAAAAGTAATATTTAAAACTTTATCTTATATCCCATAAAACTCAAAAATTTCCATTATTGTTCCAAAAATGGCATTTGCGTTATGAGGATATGGACATAAACGAAAACCTATTATTCTCATTTGTAAAACCCATTCATTGTCAATATAATGCGCCGTGACGCATAAATATCCACTTTCATTGCACCCCTCCCATAGATCAGAAGTACAAGATACAATAGCATTAAAAGACCTAAAATTATCAACTAGAGATTGTCTCATTGCATAAAACACTTTAATGTAATCAGAACGAGTTATGTTTCTACTTACCCATTTAAATTGCGGACAAAAGACCGTATGTATGAATTCTTCAAACGCCGCATCATCTGCAAAAGAAAGAGGTAATTTCCAATTAGCTAAAAATTTAGCTAGTGTCTCACAAGCACGTTGTGCATCGTATGTAAAATTTTGTAACCCTTGTGATGTGAGTGATAATGTTTGTTGGCGGCAGTCCACACTCCCACCTTGGTGCAATGACAGACATGCTTTCCAATGTCTATCTAGATGACCAGTACCCTCGCCATTTTTATTAGAAAAGTGCATTTAACAATACTTACATACTGCACGAATTTCTATTTCACCTATTTTTAGATTTGGTCGGGGCTCATATGTGAAATGTTGCCATGCAAGAGAAGTTCACGGTCTTTTTCCCCTACTGCGTTCTCCAACTTCCTTGTTGTGCACTGAAGCATTATCAACCGGTGTATTTTCTGGTTCAGTGGGGGTGGGGTTGTGAGCCATCATTTCATCATCGAAAAATGGCTCATCACCAAGTTTAGGGAGAGCGGTGAAATCAAGAAAGTTTGATGCAGCTATTTTCTGAAAATTGATTGAACTTAAACTTTGTAAATGAAAGAGCAAGAAAATGAGTGATCTTGAGAGAAAAACTTAGAATCAAAATCAAAGAGACAAGATGAGAGATAGAATGAGAGTGAGATGAGAAGTTGAGAATGAATTATTATTTGGGATTTATGGTAGGATTAAGGGGTATTTATAAGAAATTTTGAGGGCTTTTTTCGGATTGTGAGCGTTAGGCCCAACGGTCACAATCCTCATGGGCTGGGGGGCTTTTTGGTGGGCTATTTTGCGGGCCGGGCCGGGCTTGGGCCGAACTGGGCTTGGACCGGGCCGCATGTCTTTACGGCCTAGGGCTGCAGGCTGAGAAACCACGGCCCAACCCTAGCCCATCAAACGTGCCGGGCCGACACGGTCCATAACAATACCGTACTGGGCCGTGCCGAATCCGACACTGTTACGGGCTAGACGGCCCGGCCCATTTAACACCTCTATGTCTAACAAATTAGAATAAGCCACGTCCCATTGAGAAGTTTCAGTGATATCATTAGAGTTAAAGTGTTAACATCTGTTATTCTTAAAAAAAAAAAATCTCTCTCCATCCGTTTCTCTTTGTTCCTTTGTTTGGCTGGAAGTCCATCAGTCATCTTCTTTCTTTTCTTCAAGGTTCCAGTGAAGATGCTAGTCATTGCGATCTTCAAAAAGTTTCTTCTTTTCTTTTTTGTTTTTATGAATGTAAACTACTGTAAAAGCCTTTTTTTTTAATCTTCTGATCGATTACATTTTATTGATTTCTAAACCCGTCTCCGCTCCGTGACGATTAAAATTTAATTTGTTTACAAATTGAATCCATTTAAAGCGGATATTTCTCATTCCGTTTAATACGAGTACAAAATAAATGATATAACGGATAAAATTGCCATTTCTACTTTGGATCTATACATACCACACCACCCCACACATTTATTTATTTCAAAACTGGATCCAAGGTTTGTGGGCACTTTAAGGTTCGTTTAGTTTGTTGATTCGAGTTTTTAATTTGAATTGAGATGTGACTTTATGTGAGAATTTTTTATTGTAGTAAAAAAGTTAGATGTGACTGTTTCTGAGAACTTTTTATTATAACAAAATTTAAATTTTAAACTCGAATAAACGAAATGAACGGACCTAATTTTCTGTAAGTTTTTTTTTCTTTGTTTTTTTGTTTTTGGTTGAAATTCTGTAAGTTGATACTGTTGGAGTGGAATCATAAACCGAAAACCACTATCAATGAGAAAGACACCGAATCTTGAGCCAATAGAAGGCTCTGGTAAATCGTAATAACCAAGGCGATGAGAAGATGAGAATATTTACGTCACATCAGGAAATAATAATGTTCACAAGTTGACTATGATAGATGCTCAGGACACTCATCACCCATGTGTAATATTCCCCCATGTATATATGTATATACATAATATATATATGTCAACTAAATCTGATCAAAAAATTGTTCGCCACTATGACGTTAAGACTCTCTTGTTTTATCTTAACTGTTCCTAATCAAAGATCCGTAATCTTATGGTTTCCTTTCTAAAATTTGGTGACTGTCTCAATGACCACGACATGCTCATATAATTTTATTATGGCAAAATCGCTTGTATAGTTGGCCATATAATAATATTATGCATATATACCCTTAAAAAAGTTCATTCATGTATAGATTTTTTTTTTTTTTGTCAAATTAATACCACGTCATCTAGGCAAAAGCCGTTTATCCCTCTCAAAATGTGAAATCAATTGGATGGGAACACCCTTCTTTGAGCCAGACACGTTTTCCTGAATAATTGTAAACCCCGTTTATTTAACTGATTTAAGTTTTATTACAGTAAAAAACTCTAAAAAATAGTTACATTTAATTCTTTTTATTACAGTGAAAAGCTCTCACATACCAATTTAAATTAAAAAATTGAATCAATAAATTAAACGGACCATAATTACTATTTAAATTTTTATGATTATAGTCATTATCCTGTGCTGTAATTTTAATCCCATCACAATGTCCTTGCTAAATTGTTAATTTTTAATTTAAAAGTCGTTAGGACTTAGAAGTCTTAATTATTTTTAAATCATTAGATTTTTATAATCATTAGAACTTAGAATTTTTAATCATTTATATTTTTATATATAATCTGAGTAGCACCTAACTCATAAAACCCCGCCATTTATAACTCGCAACAAATTGCACATGATGGCAGAAAATCCTGTCCAAGAGTAAAGTAATACTTATATTAAAGTCTTGTTTAGTTTGCAGATTTAATTTTTTAATTTGAGTTAAAAAATAATTTTATATGAAATTTTTTTATTATAATAAAAAAATTAAATGAGATTTTTTATATGAATTTTTAACTGTAATAAAATTAAAATTAAAAACTCTGAGTGAAATAAACGAGGTTTAAACTTTATTTTCACCATTTTGTTTCTTTTGCCGTGAGATATGGACTATATTTCCAGCCACGTCATTGTAATTATTGCTTAATTATAAATCAATTAAACCCTTAATATTCATCGTCATTGTCATCATCATCAACATCCATCCAAAAAAGGGACGTCTCAATTTTTTTTTTCTTTTTTATCCCTCCATGGATCACTTTCACTATAAATGACATTCACATTAATCTCATAAATTCCCATTTTAGGGAATTATAATTATATATATTAGTATTACCACATTCTTAAAAAGTCATAACAATGGAGTCCCAACACCAAAACCCCACAAACTCTTCCCAATTACCCAAAACCAACCCCAGTGATGATCACCATCTTTCTCAGTACCCTTCCAAGCTCCTCCAAACAATCCGAACCAACCTCCTCTTCCGGTCGAAATGGGCTGAGCTCAACGGCGCCATGGGCGACCTCGGCACCTACATCCCCATCATCCTAGCCCTAACCCTAGCCCGCGACCTCAACCTCGGCACCACCCTCATATTCACCGGCATCTACAACCTCATCACCGGCGCCTTCTACGGCGTCCCGATGCCCGTCCAGCCGATGAAGTCCATCGCCGCTGTCGCCATCTCCAACGCCAGCTTCGGCGTCCCCGAGATCATGGCCTCCGGTATTCTCACCGGCGCCGTTCTCTTCGTCCTCGGCGTCACCGGCCTCATGCGGCTCGTCTACAGGCTCATTCCACTTAGCGTCGTTCGCGGAATTCAGCTCGCTCAGGGACTGTCGTTTGCGCTTACCGCGGTCAAGTACGTGAGGAGAGTTCAAGATCTTCCGAAGTCAAAATCTAAAGGAAAGAGACCCTGGCTTGGTTTGGACGGGTTGCTTTTGGCTCTTGTGTACGCTTGTTTTATTATTATTGTTAATGGAGCTGGCGAGGAATATCAGAGAATCGACAGAGAAAGACAAAGTACTGCTGATCAAGGAGATCAAGAAGAACAAGAAATTAGTGCTACTAGTCCAAGGACAAGAAAATGGAGAAGAATTTTGTACTCTCTTCCTTCGGCTTTCATGGTGTTCATGCTAGGACTCGTTTTGGCTTTCATAAGAAAGCCTAAACTCGTCCACGAGATCGAGTTCGGGCCGTCGGCGATGGAGGTGGTGAAGATATCAAAAAGCGCGTGGAAAGACGGGTTCATCAAGGGGACAATTCCTCAGCTTCCGTTGTCCATACTAAACTCCGTGGTGGCGGTGTGCAAGCTCTCGTCGGATCTCTTCCCGGGGAGGGGCGAGTTCTCGGCGACGTCGCTTTCGGTGACGGTTGGGCTAATGAACGTGGTGGGGTGCTGGTTCGGCGCCATGCCGAGCTGCCACGGGGCCGGGGGTCTGGCGGGGCAGTACAAGTTTGGCGGGAGGAGCGGCGCCTGCGTGGCGATACTCGGGGCGGCAAAGGTGGCGCTGGGGCTGATAATCGGGACGTCACTGGCGGCGATACTCAGCTGGTTCCCAGTAGGGATGCTGGGGGTGTTGCTGTTGTTTGCCGGGATTGAGCTGGCCATGACGAGTAGGGACATGAACACCAAGGAGGACTCGTTTGTGATGCTCGTCTGCGCCGCCGTGTCGTTGGTGGGGTCCAGCGCGACGATGGGGTTTGTGTGCGGGATGGTGGTGTATTTGCTGCTTAGGCTGCGGAAGTTGGGGTCGGAGTCGGAGAAGCCCCCGTCGGCCGTTTGGATACATGGGACACCCTAGTAAATTACCGGAGAAAAATGTTGAGATACCGATTGTGCTAGCTAGTAGTACAACACACTAATAGACAGTATATTATGAGCTCTTAATTTTTCTTATTAGGGGTGTTGATCAATTTCAGTTCTGCTGACGTCATCCGTTTAGACTTTGTATTTTTTTATTTTTTTTAAGTTAGTTTGGACTTTGTTGTTGATGAGTGAGTGGTAGGTTATTACTTTTTTTTTTTATTATTTTGATGAAATATGTGGTTAATTTTTTGATGTGACAATTATAGAATATTCTAAGAAGCAGTTGGCGTGACCCCTTAAAGTGTAGTCGTCGTTGAGTCGTAGTGGTTATGATGGGTGGGTTGAGAATCGTGATATATACGTTACTTTTTGAACAAGAAGAAATAGGAAAAAGAATAAGTTCTTTTATGCCTCGTTGATACCCGATTTTATAATACTAGGCTCATTTAAGGGTCCAGGTTTAACCGTGATGTTATGTTATTGAGTTCACTTTGTGAACTCAAGTTACGCTCAAAAAATTCGTGTAAGTTGTGATTTGAGAGATTATGTGTGATTAAATAGATTTATTTATCGTTTAATTTGATTCAATTTGAATATTGGTTGGGAGTTTTCAAAATTAATCGAATTAAATACAAATTAGTGATGAAGAATTCCTAAAAAGTCTTCCTCCCGACTTTTTAGAAGCCTAAAATCCTTAAATTCACACATTGAAACTTCTTTTCCTTCGTCAAGGTTGATTCTCAGTGTTTTGACATTTTACATCCCAACAAAAATTTAAAGGTATCAAAAGAAGATTTTTTTATAACGCCGGGTACCATTTTGATATTTTTAAAAACACAGGGTACTAAACGTCTATTTCGCTATAGCACTAGGTACTAAATTAAAATTATCCCCAATTTTTTTTTTATGACAAGATGGTCACGATATCAATGTTTAGCTTAAAAGGCTCTTGTATATTACTGATGATGAGAGGCATTTTTAGCTTATGCATAATATTAATGAACGCAGAAAAACCGTTCTGGTTAGGATTACAATTCTGGGAGAGGTCTTTATATATATATGTATATATGTATTACGTGTGTGTATATATTACGTGTATATACGTACGAGTTGTCAATTGTTATGTTTCTTCATGTAAATATTAACCATTTTTTACGTTGAATTTTTCCATGTAAAATTCTGATAATTTCGATCTTCAACTCTGGTTCTGCGCAGGTTAAAAACACAATAAAAACGAGTACTCATCTATAGCCTTGTGAGTGCTGGAACAGCTTATATAGTTCTACTTAATATGAATCTTGAGACAGTAACGAGACACTAATTTGCCGCGCAAATAAAGCGCGTCCAATGCATGACAATTAATTAGTTCAATGTCTTTCCATTGTTTTCTTAATAAGACTACACATGAAGAAGACTGAACAAGCTAATTACCTGCCAAGGGAAACATACTGAAAAAAAAAAAAAAAAAACGTGGAATTCATTATTAAATTTAACCGTCTTTATAAGTATTATACACTACAAAAATTTGCATCTTTAGTCCTTAGAAAAAAACAATTGCATCTTTAGAGACCAAACTTTTGAGACAAAACTATCTGTCTCAAATTAATGTGTTTAAGAGACAAAATTTAATATTCTCTCTCTCTCTCTCTCTCTCTATATATATATATATATATATAATTTTGGTTAGATTTTGGTCTGTAAGTAGCAGACACAAAATACATGAATGATTCATTATGAAAAAATTTATATATAATAATATTGTAGCACCTCATCATAGATCAACAGCACCTCTACAGCAGTATAGCTCTTCAAAAGCTCAGAGTGCGAGCAATAAGGATTAAAACATATGCCAAAGATACGCTTAAATATTAGCTGAAAAAATCCTCAAAGATGCACTATAGATTTCTTGTTTACATATATTTGGCCGTTCAATCAAATGGTCCTTGAATACAATTGCGTCCCTTAAATCAGAATTGCTAAGGGAATGGCATATATATATATATATATATATATATATACATGTATAGGCAATGATTTTTTTTCCTTACCATAAGAAAAGGGCAATAAGACTAAAATAGTGATGAGACGTCAGAGAAGCAACAACTTTTTTTTTCTATATTATCTTTTTACTGTGTACTTTTAATCAAGGAATCTATAGATAGTTGGTAAAATTATAGCCTTAATTCGGAAGTGGCTGGTCTAGTCACTGTTGAGTAATGTGGACTAACGATGAGCTTACATGCATTTATGTACCTCAAATTACAAAAAGACTACCCTTTTTATTTTTTATTTTTTTTCTAACGTATCAGTGGTGTCTTTATACCCATGGTCCCACGTTCATTAGAAGAGCCTACTAAGATTAAGAGAAAAACAGACAGATGCCCTTTTAAACAGTAGCCCTTTGATGTTTGGCTTATAAACATTCGTCCATTGTTTTTTAGTCAAATAATTATATCTTAATGATTAGAAGGGTATTAATTAAAAATAAAAGATAAAAATTAAAATTCATACACTTTAAGAATAAATTTAATAATTTTCTGATTGGGTAATAATAGTCATGGTCACGGGTCTTCAATAGCTTTCAGTGTAAAGTTCATAGATCTCAATAATATATAGTCTATGTCAGTGATGGAGTCATGATTTATTAGTAAGGGGGATTAAATTTTTTTCTCTCTTAAGATTACGTTAATATGTATATATATAACAGTTTTTATTTATTAAATTAATGCATAACATATTGACACATAAAAACATCAATATTATATCTACGTAGAAAAATATATCACTATCAGTACATGAACTTTGAAGTACCAATCACTAATGCGTAATAAATAACACATAACCTGATTACGTTTGAACTCTGAAGTACTAATCACTAATGCGTAATGAATGAAAAATATTTTCCTAAATTAGACATTGAGATAGAAGGAAACAAAAAATTAAGGGTGTGTTCATTTGCACAACTCAAGTCATTACTTGGATTGTATATGTGAAAGAAAAATATTATAGCAAAAGAGTTAAATTTAAATTTATGTGAGAAAATATTGTAGCAATATGACTTGAGTCATGAAATGAACAAGGCCTAGTATTATACAGGAAAAAAAAAAGAAAAGGAGAAGAAAAAATAAAATCTAACTTTGAATAATGGAGCAAATTTCTAAACTTCTTTAAATCTTTAATTTTGATTTTTCGAACAGTTTGGATATAACCTTCATTCACTAACTTGTTGAGTCAAAGATTGAAAAAGATTTTAGATACAACTTATAACATTTAAGCGTCAATGGTGGGCATTAATTTACCAGAAAAGAGTTTGGATATAAATTACCTTCAATGGATAGAAAAGAAATTTTAATAGTACCGCTCCGTGCTTGAATAGTGTTGTGATTCATTAGTATAATGGTATTATGGATATTTATTTGAGAATTGAGAAACTAAAAAGTTAGCTTCCCTGCATGCTTTTATAGTATAGACAAAATATCACCTTTAGTATAAATGGGTTAGTAGTTTAATTGGGCTATTAAAATTGTTAGATTTTAGTCCCATTAATGTTTATTGACTTAATAAAATTGAATATTTTAAACAAAATAGTAGACATTTTTAGATTTAAAGTGTTGAGTAGACATTTATGTGAATAACCTTTTATTTTCTAAAATCTAAATAGTTGGTCTAATAAAACGTAAAGAACTATTAATTTAAGAGGGACCAAATCTAATTTATATACATATCTACTATAATAAAATTAAAACTACTATATTAAAAAAAAGAAAAAAAAAAGCTAGACCCCCTGATCCCCCTAGCTCCGTCATTGGTCTATGTCAAAGGACAAACTTTTACATGCGGCGTGACTCGAACTTTAGGTATGATAGAAACGAAGGCTCTAAGGAAAAGACTACGGGTCCGTTTAGTTCGCTAATTTGAGTTTTTAATTCGAGTTAAGATGTGACTTTATGTGAGAGCTTTTTATTGTAGCAAAAAAGTTAGATGTGACTATTTAGCTTTTTACTATAATAAAACTCGAATTCTAAACTCAAATCGGTGAAATGAACGGGGTCTACTTATTAAAGCTGGGAGCAAATTACAAAAAGGAAAGAAAAGAAAAAAGAAAAAAGGAGAGTACTACAATTTCTTTCAAAAAATTGATAGGAGGAGATCACACAAACTACCGGTCTTTTAAACCGATTCATTGCGTATCTCACAAGATGTTAATCGTGTTATGACCACCAGAATGGATCTCGTAGGTAACGAACACTAAAAACGAAAAGAAAAGCAAAGAAAGAGCAGATTGAGTTTACTATATCCGATAAAAAAAATGAGGAAATTTACAGAAAATAGACCTATATTTAAAATTTGTGAAAATAAATAGCCAATTTACCAATATATAAAAATAAATAGGCCTTTTAATATTTTGAATGAACAACTTTCCAATTTTCCTTTCCTCTAGTAATTTATTTTTTTTTCTTTTCTGTTGATTTTTGAGTTATCGATTTTTCCCTAATTTTCTTTTCTCTTGATTTCTTATATATTCTTCCTTCGCTTCTTCTCTCTCTCCTCTCTTTTTCTCTCTCTCTCTCTCTCTATGTTTTACGCTGTAAATCCTGAATTTACCATCATAACAGAATATGTATTCTAATAGTAAATCCATATTTTACGCTGTAAATCAAGGATTTACTATTAAAACACAAATTGTGTTTCTTCATAATCCTAAAATTACAATGTAAATGCATGATTTACCATCATAACACAGTTTTTGTTCTTTCATAAATCTTGAATTTATACGGTAAGAAAATATCATCCGTATTTATTCGTAAATCTTGGATTTATAGGGACATATTTTAAAAATGTTAATTCAGTGTAAATCCTTAAAGGCCTATTTAGTAACTAATTATAGATCGTGGCCTATTTATTTTTATCACTCTTTTAATCAGGCCTATTTCCTTCGATCTCCCTAAAAATGAGTATACGCAAAATACTTTATAGTGTAAAAGTGCAATTAGAGTTTCCTATAGCATATAATAAACT